AGGGGATGCTGCTGTGGAGCAGCTTCTGTCCATGGGGAGTTCGGACACCCTGCAGACAAGGGCTGCTGCTACCCCACACTGCTGCTTCTGTATCAGGGGTAATACCCCTACAGCTCAGGGGTAATACCACTACCTGCGGCCCAGTACCGGGCCGCAGAAAAAAAATGCCAGGCCTCAGCATGCCTGGTGGCTGCCACTGTTCTGACTACTACTGCTCTCATCTGTTATGTATGTAGAGAAGAACATTCAGTTAAGGGTTTCTCTTTCTGGACAATAACACTGCTGTGAGCTACTGAACAGATGTCCCATTTAACTCTAAAGGAGGCTTCATTTCCCTGGTGCGTGAGGAGATTCCTGTGTGCATTTTCCCTTCACATACACCCCTGCAACTGCCTTAAATCTGCAATCTGAGCCAATAATTGGTAGAGTGCTTAGGGATCTTTCTGGCTTAAAAGAACTATAGAAAAGTAGGATGTAAAAGTTTATGCCTGCATGATTCTGCACACATTTGTGCAAGCATTGGTGTGTGCATCTGCAGAGTGCAGGCACATGCACATTAAGCTGTCTAATGCAATGAATGACTATTTAAAAGCGCATATGCAAGTGTTGGGGACAGACAGGGGGACAGATAGACCCACATGAAAAGTTTATTCCTTTCCTATATTGGTCACTTACTAAAACCTGGGTATTGTTTAAATGCAAAGCCCTCATTATGTTTATAGATAATGTTTGTCAGCAGCTGTGCCAGGAGAGTCCAAGTAGTACACTCCCATTACCATCAATGAAACCTAATGTTTTCTTCCTTTCGAACATTCTAATATAGTAGAACCTCAGAGTTACGACCTGACGGGTCAACCACACACATTATTTGGAACTGGAAGTACATAATCAGGCAACAGAAGAGACAGGGGGAAAGCAAATACAGTACTACTAAACTACTGTTAAAATACTAAAAAGTAAAGGTAAAGTTTTTTTAAATTGCAAGTCAAGGAAACATTGTGCTTTTTTCATTTAAGATGGTTAAAGGCAGCATTTCTGTTTGGGGTGTCCTGACTCATTGCAGGCTGGGTTAGAGGGAGGGGGGAAAGCAGGCTGAATGAAGTGTGGTGTGTGTGTGTTAGGAGGATGTTTGCATGATTGTATTTCAAACAAAGTTTCCATAGGTGTTAAGCTAAGAACAAAGAAGATTCTTTTAACAGAATTTTTTTTGGAGTGTTGCACACATCTAAAACTCAGGACTTAATGATTTTTTTAAAATCCTGTGTTAAAAATTAATACATGGTAATGTATTGCATTAAGGCCAGATCTTTGTACGTGGTAGAGTTCTGGCTTTTATGAGTTAGCAGTAGCAAGTACCAGGTGTGATGCTAGTTTTGTAGGATGAAACCTTATTTGCAAGATCTTTGAAACATGCATCTGTCTACAAACCATGAAGCTATGTGTTAATTTGTTCTGAGGCTTTTACTTCCTCTAGTGGAAGAAGGCTAATTTCCTATCTTTGTAGTCACTAAGCAGCTAGACACTGCAGCTAGACACAGGTATCTTGTTTCAATATATTTTCTTCAACACATATGCACTGCTTAAAAAGTGAGAGAGAGAGAGAGAGAGAGAGAGAGAGAGTGAGAGAGAGACATCAATCGATCCACACACTACCTCAATATTGGTGTTGAACATAAGAAATTTCAACCTACCCAAAAGAAAATTCAACCCACCCAAGGATAGAAAATGTTAAGAGGGAACACTGGTCATGACTCACAATTTGAGAACCGCTGCTTTAACACAATGCAAGCTTCAAGCACAGTCAGCCAATATTTAAGCACGTCTGCATGAGACAAACATATGCCTCTTCTTGAGAAGTCAGGCAGCATTACTTGCGGTGACAGCAAAGGTGTTTCATTCCCAAATATGTGAGGAAAAAGCCAAAACAACCAAATAATTTAAAGAGGATTTCCAAAAAATCTCTGAACCATTCATAAACGCACCTAGTCGCTGGGCTAGAGAATTTGACGTGGTATCAGAGGCATCTCCCAGGAGTGAAGTAGACACTGGAATAGAGTCCTGAAAAGAAAGCAAAAAAAATCAGTTGCTCATTCTGTACTAAAATTAGCTATTTTTCCTCTGATGAGATGGCTACAAATAAGACAAAACAATTTGTCTGTTTACATTTTTTAAAGGAATCCCAAAAGACTTACATTTCCTATAATTATTTGAGTAGCTATATGCTAGCATGTTCAAAGTGAAATTCAATATGTAAAAAAACAACCAAAACACCTGGGCACCTGCCTAAATGCTCAGCTAACAGGGAACGCTAGCACCCACTCCCAGCTATGGCTCCAGTCTGGGGTGTTGAGGGGTATGGACAGGGTAAAGGGGGAGATGAGTCGTAACTCAGCACTCCCACCCTAAAAATTGTTCCAGCTGAACCCAGCCCTAAATTTTACGTGCAGATCAGGCCTGGGTAAAATTTAGGAACTTAAATTCCATGACTTCCAGTTAGACATAGTTTTAATAATGGGATATAGTTGCTACATGATTAAATGCTTTTGAAAATTTTACCCACTAAACAAACAACCAAAACACACATCCTTTGTTATATAAAGATGGTGGAAGAAAGTTTCAAAAGTGTCAAATTACAAATGAATTTGTAATTACACTGACTTGTAGTCCCAAATCCCTGAGGCACTTTTGAAAATCTCCAGTGTCTACATTTTTTATAGTGTAGTCATTAAAACAGTCTTTAATTACACACACATGCTATTTCACAAATGAAATATATAATTTTCCTACATCACTTTTAAAGAAAAATTCCATAACCTGGAAATACCTGAGTAGATACCACTTAAATATCCTGTTCCATATAAAAATCCAATTGTACACTCTGAGAAGGAAAGAAGTAAGTTTCACTGAGACTACTCATACAGTTGAGTATTACTTATTGAACAGTGCACAACTGTGCTTTCATTGAGGCATGGGTTTCTATGACGCCTGTGTCACTGAACAAACATTGCCTTATAAAAAACTTTATAAGACTATGATCCTATTCTTGACTGTTTATCTGGGACAGGGTAAGCAATAAAACAGCAGAGGTTCACCAGGATTAGCCCCTGCTACTATATTTACCTGCACCTCCTCAAGGACTGGCAATTGCTACTTCCATTGGCTGGGAATAGTGATCTCTGGCCAATGAGAGCTATGATTCCCTCTGTACCTGCGGAGGCCCAAGTAAATATGGCAGTATGGGGGCCCGCCAGAGGCTAACCCTGGCAGACCAGATTCAGCCCGCAGGCCAGTATTTGCCCACCCCGATCTTGGATGTTGAGTATCTTCAACTCTGTGCCTGTTTTCACCATCTATAAAAAGGGGATAATTATACTTACTTTCTTCTGTAAAGTTCTATGAGATGTACAGAGTAAAAGTGATCTAATATAGCACCCACTGAAGTCAATGGAAGACTTTGAATTGACGTCAGCAGTTTGACCTGACCTCTAAGATGCAAGTATCGTGCTAATACATGAGGCCAATTTTCTGACAAATGTTATCCACTTCTCTGCCAAAGTATTTACTTATACCCTCCATTGATTTGACAAAATGCTACAATGAAAGAAAATATTCCCCCTCCCTCCATATAAACTCTTCTAGTCCTGAAAAGCTGCCCATTTGTTCATCCTAAAAATTCAACTCCTGAGATGAAAGTTCACCAAAAGTATAAATCACAGAAAAAGGGTTCAAATAGAAATGCTTGAGCAGTGTGTAGACTTGAAAAATTAATAGTGGGTAAAATTTTGAAAAGCATTTAATCATGTAGCAACTATATCCCATTATTAAAACTATGTCTAACTGGAAGTCATGGAATTTAAGTTCCTAAATTTTACCCAGGCCTGATCTGCACGTAAAATTTAGGGCTGGGTTCAGCTGGAACAATTTTTAGGGTGGGAGTGCTGAGTTACGACTCATCTCCCCCTTTACCCTGTCCATACCCCTCAACACCCCAGACTGGAGCCATAGCTGGGAGTGGGTGCTAGCGTTCCCTGTTAGCTGAGCATTTAGGCAGGTGCCCAGGATAAATTCAAATACCACCCAGCTGATTAGCAGAGCACACACTGCCTCCCACAGTCAGCAGCATGGGTTTCTACTGATGGTGCACATCTGCACATGCCTTGGTGCGCATAACAAAATGTATCCTGCACACAGATGGAACAAATGTTTACAGGGAACATTGATGGCTGCAGAGCCCCAGGTGTGGGGCTGACAGTAAGGACCTTGTGCCTGCAGTGAAGCCTCCAGGCCTGCACCTCTAGTGACAATAAAACCCCCAGCATCCAGGACCTCAGGGCCACCAACAGAGCCCATGGGACCAGCAACCAGAATCCACACAAACAGTAGAACTAGCAGATGCAACCCCCCTGGAGCTGGCCGCCAACACCCCAGGTAGCAGTGGGTGTAGGCTAAGCCTCTAAGATGGGACATAAAATGGGAGGGGGGGAGCTGGGTTGGGTTAGGGTACCCCCCCATTGGGGGAGAGGGATAGCTCAGTGGTTTGAGCATTTGCCTGTTAAACCCAGGGTTGTAAATTCAATCCTTGTGGAGGTGATTTGGGGCAAAAATTCATCAGGAATGATACTTGGTCCTGCTGTGAAGGCAGGGGACTGGACTTTATGACCTTTCAAGGTCCCTTCCAGTTCTAGGAGATTGGCAATCTCCATTAATTTAATTTAAATTTAATTACTTTCCCTGCCTATGGCTACACTACAAAGTTAGGTTGGCTGGTCTTAATTACAAGGCACAAGCCATGTAGGTCTAGGTATTGTCGCTCAGAAACGTGGATTTAATACAGCCACATAAGCACCCCTCTTACAGAAGTATTAAGTGGCTAAGCACCAGCAGTTTCAGGTGGGAAACGATGTCTCAATACTTGGAATAGTGATAGAGATGCAGCCGTGTTAGTCTGGGGTAGCTGAAGCAAAATGCAGGACAATGTAGCACTTTAAAGACCAACAAGATGGTTTATTAGACGATGAGCTTTCGTGGGCCAGACCCACTTCCTCAGATCAAATAGTGGAAGAAAGTAGTCACAACCATATATACCAAAGGATACAATTAAAAAAAAATGAACAAATATGAAAAGGACAAATCACATTGCAGAACAGGAGGGGGATACTCGGAGGAAGTATCTGAGGAAGTGGGTCTGGCCCACGAAAGCTCATCATCTAATAAACCATCTTGTTAGTCTTTAAAGTGCTACATAGTCCTGTATTTTACTTGGAGGAAGGGCTGTCTACACCCCCGCTGCTACTGCTTCAATCCTAGTTGTGTCTACACTGTGCATGCAAGTTAGGGCAGCCTAACCCCCAACAGACAAGCACAGCGGGGCCAACAGGGCAAGTCGTCTTACGGGCGGAGCTGCTACCTGTGGAGGGGGCGGATGTACAGGGCTGGCCGGGTCCCCCCCGCCGCGGGCCTGTGCCGCTGGGCCCCTTCGGCCCTCCTCGAGCGGGGCCGGGCACTCACGTGGGGGCTGCACATGGCCACGGCCAGGCTGCGCAGCGCGGGCTCCGCCCCCACCCAGAGGAAGAGCGAGTCCCGCAGCCGCATGACGTGGAAGTGCGCGAGCTGCTCGCCCGCGCGCCCGCTGAAGTCGTGCAGGGAAATCCCGGGCGTGGCGGCTCCCTCCGGCGCGTGGCGCGGGGACCCCCCCTGGATCCTCTCGCGCCGCTGCTTCTCCTCCATCCGCCTCGCGCCTGGCCACGCCCGCTGCTGCCAGACCGGAGCAAACGATCCCCGAGCGCATTGGTCAGCGTTTCGCACGTGCCGCGCCCTGGGGCGGCGCTCCACCCCCAGACCTGCCCTGTGCCTGCGTCCCGCTTGTTCCCGTCTGCCCCCGCGCTCAGCCTTCAGCCCGGCTCCTGGCCCCGCCCCCCTGAGAGCCCCTTGTCCCTGATCTGGTTTTGAGGGGGTAGCTGGGAGGCTCAGGCGGCTCTCAGACCTGGCTGCCTGCTTGCAACCCCCACTTCTCCTTTGGGCCACTGGGTTTTCAGACTGTTTCTTTTATGACCCAGTTGAAGAAAAATGTTCCTGCCCCTGACCCAACATAATTGGATTAGAGTGTGGGCTCCAGAGTGGGGTTGAGGAAGAGAGATTTGGGGTGAAGGAGGAAGCTCCGGGTTTGGGGGGGGGGGGAAATCAGGGCCAGGGCACTCAACCTTTTTTCATTTGCAACCCCAGAGCTGGGAAAATTTGCACCAAAACCAAAAAAACCACTGGGAACATTTTGTTGCAGCCCCTTTAATTTAAAGCACCGGTCCACTCCTCTATGCCCGCCACATATTCCTTGGCTACGTCTAGACTGGCATGATTTTCCGTAAATGCTTTTAACGGAAAAGTTTTTCCGTTAAAAGCATTTGCAGAAAAGAGCGTCTAGATTGGCATGGATGCTTTTCCGCAAAAGCACTTTTTGCACAAAAGCATCCGTGCCAATCTAGATGCGGTTTTGCGCAAGAAAGCCCCAATCGCCATTTTCACCATTGGGGCTTTTTTGCACAAAACAGTTTTTAGCTGTCTACACTGTCCCTCTTGCGCAAAAACATTTCTGGAAAAGGGCTTTTGCCCGAACGGGAACGTCAAAGCATTTGCGCAAGAAGCACTGATTTCGGACAGTAGAACGTCAGTGCTTTTGCGCAAAATCAAGCGGCCAGTGTAGACAGCTGCCAAGTTTTTGCGCCAAAGCAGTTGCTTTTACGGAAAAACTTGCCAGTCTAGACACAGCCCTTGGGTTCCAAGCTGGAAAACAAAATACCGGCTGACCTAGATCAAAGCACTGCGACCCCTCCAGGAAAACGACAGCAACCCCCTTGGGGGTTGCGACCTACAGGTTGTGCACCGCTGCCATAGACCATGCTGTGCCCCCAAAGCAGGTTCCCTGCTAAAGCAAGCGTGCAGCTAATGCTCAGGGCAAGGACAGTATGCGGAACCCTGTGTGGTCTCACCCCTCCCCCACCTAGGTGCCAGACCTGCTGGCTGCTTCTGGAGCATAGCACAATCTGAGAGACAGGCAGGTAGCATGCCGCAGCACACACACTCCCCAATCACCTGATCCCCCTGTAGCTACAAGACCTACCACCTGACATTCTATGACTCAGTACTGGGTCACAATCCATGATTTGAAAATCACTGCCTTAAGGCACAGGCTTTGGTGTGCAGCTGGCCAGACATGATGGCGACTATCCCAGTAGTGCATTGTACTGTATCCCACCTACAGTAGAGGGGGGGAGTGTACACTTAACGGTGGTGCTCCTGTGTCCTTCCCCTTACTTCCACATCCATCACTTTGGGTGAGATCTAGTTTAGGCTTAGGGCTATGCCATCACCCCCTCCCCCCACCTTCCTGCAGTCACATAAGCATGTGACAAGCTCAGCTTTCTTTCCGTGCTTGAGAAGTGAAACTTGAAAATGTGGCCAGTGCAGCTGCTGTCTGGCTGAGTCAGCAGACAGTCTGACACAATAGCTCAGAAATACAAACTATTCCATGCATCTCATCGGGACGGGGTGGGGGTGGGGATAATGCTAGACACACTGCTCTGAAAAACTCCATCAATGCCACCCATCCTAGGATTTGGTATCTGGTAAGCTGCATGTGGTGGCCTAGCTCACTCACCCAGGAAGACTTAATGCTTGCTGCTCCAGAGGGAAGGTGGGTTCCTCGTTCCACTGCTGAGATAAAGAGTCACTCCAAATGGGGGAAGGCTACTGAGGGCCAATCTCATAGTGTGCTTAGGGAACTATATTGCGTATACTTGATCTCCCCTTCAGGATGCTCTTATGGATAATCATAAATAGTATCAGTATTTTTTAGCCATAGAGCTCAAAGCATTTTACAAGGGATAGTAAGCATGATTATACCCTCTTTACAGATGGGGAAACTCAGGTCTAGAGAGTTTAAAGGTTTGTGTTGTCGAGTTGCTATGCAACCAGAACTATTCTAAGTCAATTGTGGGAACTCTACACCTTTGAGAATCTGTTCTCATTTGAGGAGTCTTAATATGGATGTAAGAGGTATCCACATTTGAAAATGTTACTTCTTCTGTAGAAAGACTGTTCAGTCCATTACTCTAGGCTAGGAATACACAAAGTTACTATGTACAAATATTGAAAGCAAAGATGTGTTGTATGGTATTATTTAAAGGAGAACTGTGAAAGTGTGGCTGTGGAAATAATCATGTAGCCATCACTACATACTTGCTTCAATGCAGAAGTAGGATTTGAACCAGAAAGAAACATTTGATATTTTTAAACATTTGAAGCTAACAGGCAGCTTGAATTTTAAATCTCTACTATTGAAATATATGGGATGATAAACACAGAAAATATTTCACAGAAGCGCTTCTAAATAGGTGTTTCCAAAATTTCCAATCAGGCAGAAAACACAACAGAGAGAATTCTGACAAAAGTTGCAGTTGTGGCTGCAATCCACCAGATGGCACAGTAAATTGGCAAGATGATATACCAAAGCTAGAGATAAACAGATACAGCTGGCTATAATGAATTACACCTTTTGCATGTGCCCCAGGCTCTGCAGAGCCATAGCCTAATTCTGAACTATACAGTGTGGGAGTGTTTGCCAGTATGCTATCCCCTACTGGAAATCTGTGGGAATATAATGTCGACACTGTGTCTTTAGTCAAGTCTGTGGATAGCAAGTGTAACTTTTCTGACAGGTAGCGCCGGCAGCAGCCAGGGCCAGGTTCAATATCTAGGGGTTACTTTTCATCCATCTCACACAGAACTGGCGCGAGCCTCCTCCAAGTAGCCTAGGAAATTCACACACATCTGGGAACCTCTGAGAGGCAATGCTTCCCCAGTCACAAGAACAGAGTCTGAGCATAGAAAATAAACTTTTAATGAGAGAGGGAGAGAAGTAACATGGCATTAACTTGGGAAAATATCACAAACAGAGTTCATAACCAAACCACGAGTAACCGTCTCACCTCAAATGGATTGAGCAATGTCCTTTGCCTCTCAGGCTTACAAGTCCAGCAATGTAAGTGTCCCATTCACATGCCCAAACTTTCTCCATACCCCACTCACAGTTGCTGCTCTTGGTCAGGGCAGACCTGAGCTCAGAGGTGATTTTCAAAGCTCACCTCCCACCCTTGGGGGTTGGGGATAGGAGGAATCTCACCCACTCTGTTGGCTACTTGCCACTGCTCCTGCCAGCCACCCCACTGGCCACCTGCCACTACTCCTACCAGCCGCCCGCTGGCTGCTCCCGCTATTCCTACTGGCTCCCTGCTGGCTGCTCCTGCCAGCCTCCCTGCTGGCTGCCTGCTCCTGCCAGCCACCCTGCTGACCACCTGCCACTTTTCCTACCAGGCGCCTGCCTGCTGGCCGCTTGCTCCTGCCAGCTGCTGCTTCCACGATGGGTCTGGGTCTGGCTCTGGGCCAAACTAGTGATTTCAGCTCTTTGTCAGTCTCTTAGTGATTCCAGCTCCCACTTGAATAATATTTCAAAATAACAAAGAGACTCCTTTTGGAGTCTGTTTTACGACTATCCTTAGAATGGGGTGGGAGGGGGGAAAGAGAGAGAGACAGGTTGAACCAGTCTTATACCTCATATCTGGAGGACATGGAGCTTGTTGGTTCAAGCTCCTTCACCTCATTCCAATCCACTTGAGTCTGGAAGGGGAAAGCGTGTCCATCCAAGACTCTTTATAATGACAGTGTCTCTCCTGCAAGCACTGGTGTAATATTTTATAATTCCTGCATTTAGGGTTAACATGGTTTGTGACCCCACTCCAGCGAAATTAGTTATAATACACAACATTCCATTCCAACAATTGACCATCCATCAGGCCGATAGCACTAGCTGAACTGGATTTACATAACCACACCCCGGATTCCGCTCCCATCCCAGCATGAGCTGTATTTACATATCAACAGTTGATTATCTTGCAGAGCTAAATGACTGAATTACCATAACCACACCCAGGTCTCCCTTCCCCTTTCAGCTGGCTGCATTGGAAGCAGTGGTTCAGACCCTGCTTACACAAGTTAACTCAGTTGGAGGCTACTGATATTTGTTGAAGTGTCTGAAAAAGTGCATTCCTAAAGGCAGGGGCTGCTTTGAGGTTGACCACTCTGTCCTCCTCTTTCAACTTTCAAGGTACAGCAAGGATATTTGCTTCCCAGTCCTTCATAAGATAGCTCTTTCTTAGCTATGATCCTGACAACAATTGATGTAATCTACAGGTACCTGTCTGCTCTACTTGGAGCTTTGGTGTTCCCGTTGTATAGAAGGCTGAGGAATTTTAAAATCTGAATGTAGTGATATATTAGTTTAAACAGACTGATAATCTCTCCTAGAGTTAGCTGGCAAGCAAGAATCCATTATAATGATAATTTTTCACCATTCAGCTCCCATCTGTCTCTGGAAATCTTCTATATTTCCAAATTTTAAAGCTAAACTTTCAGGTTGAGGCAGAATTTTTTCACCATTCCATTTTAGGAAAATTCATAAATGATGTTGAAAGTTTACAACCCTTAGAGATAATTCATTTCTGAAATGTGACAAAAGAACCAGATCCTCAACACTCCCAAGTTGTTATTCTGCTACATCATGGTTGAGTCTACCCAGGCATGGAACTCCTCTGCTTCTCTAAAGCTGACATAGCACTCTGTGGGCATGTCTACACTACAGACAAGATTACCCTCCAGAGGTTGATCTTCTAGTGCAGGGCTGGCCAACCTGCAGCTTGTGAGCTGCATGCAGCTCTTCAAAAAATTGTGGCTCCTGCACCCA